ATTGGGAAGAGGCAGGATGACCCAAAAACCCTGAATGCTCCCATGCCAACCCTATGTGCCCGGGGGCGTTTATTGTGAAAGTCAAGAACAGAAGGTAATGCAAGTTTATGTATTTTTCAACATTGAAAGGATTTCTGACCTTCAACAAGCACAACCTTTTATTCGGTTTAGTTCTTTTTTTGTTTTTACTCAACGCATAAAAAGTTTGAACCTTTTCTTCAATGGAAAATTTAATTCTATGTTCATACAAGCTATCACTTTTACGAAGACTGTTTTATCTTTTACCTTTACCCATGACAGATTGTTGCGTAATGTGGATGTAATGACTACATCCACATTACGCAACAATCTGTCACAACATGGGGACATTTGGGAAACTGCGATATTTGATTTTCTCCTTATGACGCAGCTCTAATGTTGGCCTCATGAAGAGTAACCTCAAAAACAATAAAACCTCAATGTGATTACCGCGAGCCGTTAGCACAGGAAACGTGTGTATACGGTGCAAGGAGGTCTGGTGTTGCTCACCTTGAGGTCTCGGTGGATGATGGGCGTCTTGCATTGGTGCAGGCGGGCCACGGCCTCGCAGGCGTCACAGAAGACGTGGAGGACCTCGGCCTCGCTGAAGCCAACGTTCAACCGCTGGTTCATCTGCTTCACCACCTGACCCGCTGCAGGAGAGGGGCGCACGGACGCAGCTTTTAGGATCTGGGGTCATTTGCTTTCAGGAGTCTGAGGGATGTTTGCGTGTCAACTTTTCCAAATGAGGGAAAATCTGCACCAAACAGCCTTCGAAAAACCGCCATGCTGAGTCAGCGAGGCGCCGCGATCAATAGAGGGGCCGAACAGAGGCAGCAGCAACCCACTGAACGAGGATGTGTTTTTAATAGTTTAACAACGTAGCCTTATGTAGCTTGGTGGGCCGCTCGCAATATGCGCTCAAATGACATATCGCAAACTCTGTGAAATCGCGTGAAATTTTTTTTGGTGCTGCAATATTCATTTTACATATAGATGAACGTCACCAACATTTAAGTTGATCGCGCTGCCTCTGCTTTACCCTGGTGGAAAGCGGGGGCGGGGCTTGGGCAGCGCGTAGCCACAGATTCACCGGCCGCCACACATTCAGTTTGGTGTATTTTTTGTATTATTAACGCTATTTAAATCACGCAGCGTATTCGTTCAGCTGCATTTCCTTTCCCTGCTCTTCCTTCGTCTGCCTATAACAGCAAGTAGTACAGGGTGTCAAATGTGTACTACAGCTATGGGAGTTGTATAGATTGTGTATAGTTCTATCTAGCGATGTGCGTTTTAGTACGTTTGTCGTATCTCCTCTGCCTCCTGGGTCTCTGAAAACGTAGAAGTATAAACTAGGCTTAAGCTAACTAAGCTAAAAACAACAACCATCCGCTCGGTCAGTGGCATTAAATGGTCTGAAAATTGCAATAAATCTTGGTGCAATTATCGCACAACAAAAATGTGATATGGTGACAGCCGTGGTTTGGTCAATGCAGGAATCTATTCAACGCGTGCAGAGCAGCTGGCTTTTATTCCACCTCCCAAGTGATGGAATCTAAAAGGCTTGTGTGTGTTTGTTTACCTTTACAGTACTCCATGAGGATCAGCACCTCCCACACGCTGTCTGACACCGCGTTGATGGTGGAGTCCAGGTAGCCCACAATGTTCTTGTGCCCCGACAGCTCCTTCTACAAACGGGGTGAAAACATGAGACTCGTTTATGTGCATCTCAGGAACTGAACCTGCCGGCGGCCTATGATGGGTCTTTGAAAGTAAATTACTATTGAGTGTTACTCTGAAATCACAAGATAATAACAATCCGTTTCAGTGTAATAAAACAATCTGATTTGTGAAAGAACTAAAATAACTAAATGTTTAGTGAGCAGCAATATAAGTGTCTCTACGAGCCCAGGTGACGATGATGCTCTCACCATGATGGTGATCTCCCGCTTGTAGACGTTGAGGTCCGGGACGTTGTTGACGTACATCCTCTTGAGAGCGCAGCGGACGCCGCTGTGTGTTCGAGCCAGAAAGACCACCGAGAAGCCTCCTGGACAAAAGCATTAGCAGAACATCAGCATCTCTGACCTACTTCATGGGGTGAAGGTTTACAGGGATATCATGTGGAGAAGTGCCAGCAAACATCTCATTTCAGTCAGCTGATAGAAGGTTAAGCACCCTTGAGATCGTACAGCGTTGGGAGTACACCGGTTGTTCTATGGTACGGATCACAGCTAACTGCTAACATGCTAACAATAACGGGGTCAAACCTGTCGGTAAACATGTGATGGAAGGCAAATGTGGTTTATCGTGACGTGTTTATCTAACGTGGTAGAACGAGTGCTTGGGAGGAGATGCTTCCACAGCAACACACCACGGACGCCACGGACCGGGTGGTGTAATCCAGGATTCATAGAAAGGTCTCCATGGAGGTGATTGACAGCTCATTCAGCTCGTTTTGGATGTAATCATGGAGTAAATTAAGCTTGTTTGGTTTTTTTACCAAGAATGAGACGAGCTGTTTTTACGTCACCGTGTGAACGGACTCTTAACTCATTAGTGGGGGATTACCCAAGCCCCCCAAACTGAAGAGGATCCACAATGGCACGCGTGTTGCGTAACAAGTTACCTTGGGTCAATGAGCCAGAGGGGCTGGAGTGACCGGCGGGCACAAAGGCCCTCGTTGAAGAGTCCGTCAACACGCCGCATGAACACGTCTCGGGGGACGTGAGGTTTCGGGGACAGCGCAGAGTAAAAACCAATAACTCATACAGGTTAAACCCGCGTGTGAGGACGGCAAACAGAACACGGCCAACAGGTCGGGCAAAGCAAAGGTAAACACACTGACGCGGAGGGTTTGCTTGTGTGCGGTGACAACAGACCGACGGCATTCTGCAGCACAGAGGGATGAAAACGGGCAGATAACGAGACAACAGACCACTACAAAGAAAAGCATTAGAATGTCAATGGAAAACGTCCATGATCACGCATTTGAGCTGCGACTGGCCAAGTCTATTTATGGGTGCCATCATTTTTAAGCACATCTATGAAATAAGCTGCGTGTCTCATCTGCAGTTTAAAACATTCTGACGCTGCTTAAATGAGTAACATAAACGGAACATTATTGAATACCCACAAAAATACACTTTCTTTGAAACATTGCTGATGCAGGACAGAGGAAAGAAGAGAGAATTAAAACGCAAGTAAACAAGATGTTTGCTGCATGCATGAAGGAAGCTTACAGTGCGATAGATTTCCTGCAAAGAGACACCCAGTGACCACGTGGGAGGAAACGTAAGCCATAAAATTGAATCATGTGACAGTCTTGTGAAAGAGCCACTTAGAGAAAAAAAGAAGAAAACAGCAGGAATCAGGATGCACCCATTTATGAAGACTTTCTTCAAGCTGAAACTGTGTTCTCTCCATGACTAGGACCCATCTTGTGAAAGTACAAAAGTCTAACGTAGTGCATGGACTTAGAAAGCAAAGAAGAAAAAGGTGTAGGATGCAAACGTGGTAAAGATCAAACTTGAGGCCCAGATGTGGGGGCTGCATGGGTCGAACAGACGTTGCTGGGGGAGAAGAGCTGGAAGGGCTAGCAACGGAGGCACATCTGGAATACCTTGCCAAGACAGCGATGATGTCATAGGGTGTGCAGTAGACTTCTGAAAGTACATCATTCACGTGACTTTTAGCCACGGGTAACCAGCCATGCAGCAGGCATGTTTTCCAACCCAGGTCATCCAGCCGACCCGGATCTGGGTGGAACGATTTGTTTTAGAGCTTTGTGGCCTTGTGACCAGCGTACTCCCTTGACGAATGAGGCATCCTTGAACAACCAGAGGGTCCCACACAGCGCAGGACATCGCTGTGGTCGTCTCCCGCGGTAGACCGCGCAGGCGCGACGTGACAACCTTCAGACGGGGGAATTTATGAATGACAGAAGGTTCTGTCACAACGATTTTAACGGTCATAAATATAATGACAACAATCAACCCGTTCAAATACTTTATGTAAAGACCAAGATTCTCACGTAACCAACAAACTGCAGCTCGAACAACCGATGACATCAAAGACCTACTTACAGCCGGATGTCGAACTAGTAAAAACGTATTATTCATTCTTTGGCGAGCAGCTCGACAGTAGATATATATATATATATATATATATATAGCTGTTTCGATCGCCATCAATCACAAACGAATGTGTAGATTAACTGTCCAGGGGAAGCTGATCAATGAGGAAATGTGTTATTCTTGGGAGTTAAAGGCTCCCAGCATCTCAGAGCCACACGTACATTCTTTCATGTCACGTTTTCTTTATTAAGCCAACACATAACTACTTACCCGCCCACATTACCGGTTTTCGCTTCTAAAACGGATGGCTGGTGGCCGTGAGCACTGCTTAGTGGGACTTTTTAATTTGATTAAATTAGGTAAATCCAATAAGGTCAAATACTAATGGATCTCAACACTAACCAAGAAGCTGGAGCTCATAATTCATGAATCATGCGATTTCTCGTGCTCGCTCATCCCGTCACAGGAACACGACTAACCGGTTACTTGCAGGTTAAAGCTGTTCAGTAAATCAGAGGACGATTGATGGACTGATGACGCAGCACAGCGAGGTCAGGGGTGGAACAGATGGGCGTGTCTAACACGTTATCACACCTCCCTTCCCACTGGTCTGGTCGCAGGCTGCACGGCGGGGGGAGAGGGGGCACATCACAGTGTGTTTACATGATGGTATAATTTGAATCTTCGCTTAGTCGGACTATGCTCTCTTTCGAGGGGAGGTGCTATTACCCCAATATACATGGCAGTGAATAAATCGAATCATTGGCCGAAAGCACGTCATATCAGATACGATAGGTGGCGCTGTTTTCATTACAACGCTTGACCTCTTCACCACTACCAACAACAACAACATTACGAGAAAGATGGCGAGCGGAGAGCAAGGTGAAGCTACATCCCTCTACTATCTTTGCATGATGTTAATATGAGTACAGCGAAGGCGAATGGCGCTATTGGCTGATTTGATAACGGAGAGAAGACGCCGTCGGGATCTCAAGCACGCGCAAAGACGCAAAGTCCAGTTCCTCATCCGATTCACCGTCACATGGCGCAATAGTCGAACTATCAACTGGATCGTATGGAGTTATCCAGGCGTGTGAGTCGGATCGTAGTCGGACCGCACGTAGTCGGACAAAGGTGTTTACATGAAACGGATCATTCGATTTCAGTCCGACTAAGCCAGTTATTGGAATCCATGTAACCACGCTGACTCACTAGGACGTCACCGGCAGCCTGGAAGAGGCTCTGCAGCAGCCTTTTGGAAACATACTCTGCATGTGACGCAGACAATGAAGAAGGAAAACACTTCAAAAATGAAAGCGAAGATTCCCAATAAGTGAGCGTTAGAGGATCTGCGTTTCCTTTCTGCTGCAGCACAGATGTTCTTCCTCTGGAGCATGATGTCATCGGCGATCACCTCCCCCTCCCCCCAGAGTCGCTCTTTCAACCGTGAAGCTTTATGCCGAAGTCACAGCTTCTTCAAAAGTTTAGCTCGGTGAAGCTACAAACCAAGAAGGGAGTTCAATTCAAACACGTGTCTTTGAGCTGAAGAGTTGCGTTTGAGAGGAGTGCCTTCTATTAGAGCCGCCCCCCCTCCCAACATGAACCCACGACGCCTCCCCCACGGTAGTACAGCTCCATGATAAGAAGTACTATTTCCTAAAACAAGTCACGGTGGTCACCAGACTACTGGGACGGTTTCTTTGTCGTACTTCATCTTGCAGAGGACCCCCTTTACTTGTTTAAATTAAACTTGTGGCGTGTTGGCATGAAAACAAGTGTTAAAGTACATCAGAAATACCGTCCTCCTACAGCGCTGCTCTCCCCACACGTTTCTCTTTAACCACAGTTCACCTACAAACCATCTGCGGTTGCAGTCTTCACAAGCCGGATCGGTGCGGCCACAGGAAGGAGGCGGTTGTGGCAGAGGAGATGGTGAGAATGGAAGAGGCATTCATAGGGGGAAACGGCTGGAAACTAGCCTGAATGAGTGTTAATGCTGGAAATCATTCAGAACCATCATCCCGCCCTCCTCAATGTTGCTAATGCTATCTAGATATCTAGATCAGAAGGACTTGGCTGAAATCAGTCTTGTTCCAACGGTGTGACAACTTAAGACGGATGCAAAGTGTGTGAGGAGCAGGTCCATACTAGGTCATCCCGAGCCGAAGGGAGCGCGAAGCTTCTGGCAGTCGGCACTCATCCGCCGCACAAGTGTTACAACAGTTTACAAGTGGACCGACAGACTCGAGTGGTCGTGCTGGGGAGGAAATCAGGAGAGAGACAAGCGATGCTGCTGGAAGAAGAAGAGGGTGAAAACAGGACAGCGAGGGGCAGTCGTGACTCGCACGTTTAACACCATCCTACAGAAGCTTTATGCTGAACGACTGAGGGTAGATCACTACTTTAGACCACAGAAAACCGTGGAGATACATTCATGGCTACAGAGAAACACTCAACTATAAAACGAGTCAGTTTGGACTAAACTGCTGGTCTTCAGTGATACGCAGGTACATGTGTGCTCAGGGCCCGACGTTTAGATGAATAACAAAAGAAGCACAAACTCCGCCAAAAAGGGGATTAGTCCGCTCGGCTCCCTGTGAGGGGCTGTTTTTTTTTTTAGATCCAATAAATTATCCACATATCAAACAGCAGAATAAGTTCAGCCCGTAGGCGACGAGTCCAGCTGGCCTCCTTTAAATGCAGCTCACAGCTGCACCAGGTGTGGCTTTGTTGTTAACTGAAATCCAGATGCAAACAGAACAGGAATCCCTCGCCATCATACAGATATAGCAGCAATATACATATAGTGATATTCTCAATACAAACATAAAACTACATCCCACATGACGGCTCGCTGCTGGTTTCAGGAACTCGATTCCACGATGACATTCAAATCAAAGCTCTGATGGAGCGCTACGTGCTGAAGAGAAAACCCAAACGGTAAGGAGGTCAGCGCGCGTGTATTTTAAAAACAAAGCGTTCAGTTCTGAAACAAACTTATTATTCTCAGTCAAGCTGCTGAACACAAAGGCGCCTCAAACATCCACATTCACGACAGTTGTCCTTCATTCAAGGTCGGCTCATCTAAATGATCTATTATTTCAGACGCGGGGTAATAAAAGGCCAGAGCGGCAGATACAGAGGCCTCGGTGGGCGAGTGCTGCATCGTACCACCATTCTGTCTGGGGGGCTGGGGTAAGACACAAGGGGCACAATGCCCCCATTCATGCCCAGTACAGTATGCCAATAATGAAGAGGGGGTGCATTCTCGCCCGCCCTCCCGCTGGCAGAAAGGGAGGATCAAACAGGTCATTCAAAAACTGCAAAAGAGAGTAAACGGCTGCCCTTGTTTCCAGCAGGTTGTTCTTGGTGAAAAGAGACCGTCGCAACTCGGGGACAAGCGGTCCTGGAGCTGCTCTTCCGGACCGCCGGCGGGTTTCGAGTATTAACTGACACAACGTTGGACCAGACGATCAAGTTGGCTGTGAAGAAAGCGACTTGTTGTGACATATTGCAGCTTACGTTGCTTTAAATGCAGTGTTTCCAGTTGGGTGGAAATCCTTGTAAAAACACCAGATGAGTAGTCATGATGTTATTCAAACTAAAATACATATTAACATCAGCCAACAATCCTAGAGTACGTTTACTTCACGCTTCATGTATTATGCGTGACAACGCAAACAGGTGAAGAAATTCACAACAAACAGCTTAGTTATGTTAGTTAAGCAACTAGTATGCTCTAAATACCCATTTTATGTACATTGAAATCACCCTTTAAACAGTCCGGTGCGGCTACAATGACAAACTTTGCCAGGAAATTTGTGAAACTTTCCAAACCCTCAACTAGTGTGAATTTACACGTTTCCTTAACTTTCAGGCTTCAAAGAGGAACCGAACCGCCGAGCGAGTTGGTGCAGAAACGGGGGCTCACAGATGCATCCTGCTCCGTGGGGTCACGTGCGTGTTCCTCTCGGAGGCAGCAGATCGAGCTCAGAGGAACCACGGGGCCAGAGGGGACGGAGGGGAAATGACCATGTTCCAGTCCAGCTCTGCAGAAATCTCCCCGATGGAGGAACAATTTGCCAACCACGAGGCTGGCTGGAGAACCGGACCATTAACATGTCTCCTTTCTGGCGTTTGGCTTTAAAGAGTCCCGTGCTTTCCCTCAGACAGGCACAGCTGCTGGGAACAGCTGACGAAAGGAACACGAGAGGAATCCGTCCCATGAGCCACCGAGTGCCACAGACTTGCCCAGCAGGCCTTTTTATGAAAAATGTAGACAGGAAACTGACAATCACGACAACTGCAATGTGCATCAACGAGGTTATTAATGGATGGAACCGAGGGGGCAACTGAAATGAAGTGGTTTTCATCTTAAGAGAAACGTTGAATGAGCAACCCTACAAAAGTTTAAATACAACCTTGTGAATCCTGCCTCGCGCTCGCTGGCCGGTAGATATTAACCGCAACAATTAGTACTTTCTGAGTACAATGGCTTCTACCCCCCAGAACCTCAGTAGAACTGATTGCATATGTGCAGCATTCATCAGCAGTTCAATTATTCGGTACTAAATACTTATCCACTGGAATAACAATAATCTTCTTTTAGAGTCAATATCCTGATCGGCACCCTGCACATCGGAACAGAACCATGAGCAAAGGTCACAAAGTTACCATGAGCTCCACAACCACTTCACATGACTATATGATGACACATGACTGCTTGCAGGAAGGCTTGTTTGTTTGTGCGAGCGTGTTTCGGGGCAATCGGGTTCACAGTTTGAGTCAACAGCAGGTTAAGTTTGTGCTCTTTATTCGTAGTGACTTAGAAAGGAGGAGTATGGCCTCAGGAAGGCGAAGTGAAATGCATTAAATAATGCCTCTTCCCTTTGGATTGATTTGATTGTCCAACTACAGTCGAGCGCAGTAAATCGTTTGCCAGGAGTTTCCTTTCCCCCACCGGAGCTCTGAGTTGACTCAACGAAACCTCAAACTGTATTTGAGTAACAAATGCAGCGACCAGTCCTCCACAGGAGGACCCGGTACTGCAGCGGGATCATTAACACTTAATCCTCCTGACGGGCCCGAGCATATCTGCAAATACCATCGGACGGGTGCGATTTGACTAATTAGCATCCCCATGTTCTATGATAAGGGGGGAATACATGACTACTTCTCGTTAAAGGGGAGCTAACCAATCAGTGGACTAATTGGCTGAGCTATTCAACTAATCAAAAGGCTGTTTCTAGTGAAACACACTGTGGGGAGTGGAAGCACCAGCAGTCAGCCTGTTTTTCTGTTTCACACACTTCCTCATTCTGAGCGACATGGAGGGGAATCTCAGAAAGAGAAGTCGAGCCACCAAGGAAATGTGGAACGTTTCCAAGAAAGAAAGCCCGTCTTGGTGGACGCATCCACTTCATAAAATATGAGTTTGTCCCCCATCAACCTCATTTTATTGAGTTTTAGGACACTGGTGTCCCTCAGCCAGTGCAGACACGCGTCTTTGTACGTGTCAACAGCTGCAGAGAGGACTTAGTATGTCATGAGACAAAAGAAACCGCAGAAGAACATGAGTGGACATGTTGAGCAGTTTCTCTTCTTTAATTGGCTGGATATTTGCAAGGTGTCTGTTTACACGGGAGAGGAGGGGGGGGGCTACCGGCTTCATCATCTTTAAGTCCCGGCTATAAACCAAACTGGTGCCCCACTTTAAACACCAAAGAAGAAGAGAGCGACCTAGTTCAGCCACTCCTGCAAGAAACGTACTTTCTGGGAAGTAAGCAGATGTTGGAGGGTTTGGGGGATGCGGTGGGGGATCAATTAAAAAGGAACACAGCTAGAGGGGCTGTACACGAGGGGACGGGTGGGTCCCACAACCCCCCCCCCCCCCCATAGTGATGTCCGGTGCGCGCGGCACGTACCCTCTGCGATGAGCTCGTCCACGGTCACCTGGTAGCGGCCGACGGCGAACACTTTGCCGAAGTAGCTGCTGAGTCCGGAGCCGGACGCCCCTCCGCCGCTCTCCGACATCCTGGAGAACTTCTTCATGCTTTACCTTCGTCCCCCTGAGTGCACTTCGCCGAATGTAAACTCCTTTTAGTTCTCGGTGGCTGGTGGCTGGTTTCCCCCCCGCCACACACACACACACACACACACAGTTTAACTGGGCTGTGACCGACGTCTCTTTATCTAACGTGACTTAAGTCTTTCTCCTCCTGCGTGATCCGCGTCGGGTTCTTCTGGAGGGAATACAAGCTGCCGGGTGACACGACATCAAAGTACGGTTGATACACGAGTTAGCCGCGGGGTGGTCTCCAAAAAATCAGCAAGCACTGGCAAAATGTGAAGAGAAAAAAAAAAAAAAAAAACAGTACAAAAGAAGTGGTGGGCTCGCTAGCTAATGAGGCACATCCCCAGTGCAGCCGCTGCTAGCACGGACTCGGCGGTGAGCGGTCACGACGCTACGCCGATAAGAGAGACGGTGGCACCGGTGTTGATAAACCTCCTTTGGTGGCAACGAACCCCACCTCCGGGGGGGAAATGTATGTCCAGCCCACCAACCGTCGCCTGGGCGCCGTTAGCTCCCTGGCCGCGACGGGTAGTCAACGGCTAACGAAGTTCGCCAACTGCCGCAGAGGTTTCCAAACGTCGCCTCGGCGGGAAGTCAGCGGCTAACGAAGTTCGCCGGCAGACGCGGGCGGTTCCAGGCGGAGTCCGTTAGCTTACTAGCCGTGGCGGCTAGTTAGCGGCTAACGCAGTTCGCCGGCAGAGGCAGCGGTTCAAACAGCCGCCGTTGGCTTCGCTCGTCCGCGACTCGCTCCACTTCCCCTCCGGCGACGCCGGCTAGTTAGCGGCTAACGAGCTCCGCTAGCAGCCACAGGGGTTTCCCTCCGCGCTTCGGGGCGACTCCCCCCCTACCAGAGAAGACGCCTGTGCCTCATCAGAAACTCTCCCAGCAAAGAGGATTTAATCCGGTCCACCTGGCTCATCTCTTCACTTGTCTTTTTCTGTGGCGCGTCGCTGACGATAAACTTCTCTCTTCACCCCCCGACGGCGGTCTACAACACGAGTGGGCGGTGTTTGTTATCGAGCCAATGAGAGGGACAACCTAACCTGCTGTGGCCCCGCCCCCTCCCGTTGTCAGGATTGGTGCAAGTGGAGCAAGTACGGAAGCCCATTAGTGCCAAGAGGAGAGGGAAAAAAAATATAAACGTGCAATAAATATGTATGAATCAAACTGTGCACAATAGATACCTTTTCTGAATATATCAATGAAGTCAAATTTACAACACGTTTCAGGTCCACCTGACTTTCAGGAAACACCTGTGAACTTGTTCATATTTTCACCTTTGCTTAATTTAAAATGCGCGCTGGGATACGAGTCATCAAAAACTGCTGATGTTTTAAAACTGTAGCGCGTCCAGACAATGCTCATCTTGGGCGGCGTCACCAACTTGCAGACAGACTGAACAGTCTGGTTTGGGAAGCAGAGCGCAAAAACCGGCCGGAAAGAATGCAGTGCGTGGAGAAATGAACCCGCCTCCTGCTTCTCTAAACCCTCAGTCAGTTATTGTGCTGTTTGTTATTGAAACCCACAATCCAAACTGTGTTTTTCATCAAAAAAAACGCGTGCGCATGGATCTCACGACACGCCCTTTTATTTTGATGATGACCCGCAGTGGAAAAACCTTTTCACCAGCCGAAGCCAATGAGGAAGTGGCGTGACAGCTGTGGGCTGCAGGCGGCGTGGGAGGCCGCAGGAATCCACCTCGCCATGCCGCTCATTCCTCTCGTGGTCCGTCACTCAAAAAGTCCCCTCCTGTTTCCTGCGCGTCGGCCGCCGGAGGTGAAGCTGTGTCTGGTCCCCGGGCTCCCACACGCACTGGGAATGGTGGGCCGAGATGGGGACTACACAAGGGATGAGGAGGAGCAGGGTCACGTGACTCCAGGGACCCCCAGGCGTAGGGGTGGGGGGGTTAATACACTTATTATTCCTTGTCTGTGTGTGTGTGTGTGCGTGTGTGTGCCCCCCACCCGTTGGTGTCGGGAAAACACAAATGCTCACAGAAACACACTGTTCTTCAGGCTGACCTTTGACCTCTCTGGAGGTTTAGAATTCAATCTTTCAAAGCAGAAAAAATGATGAAAACACTGCGTTATTTCAGAAGTCAACGCAACAAAATATTTTCTCAATCAGTTTCTCACTTGGAGTAATCAGCGGAAGGGACCTGGAAACAGCGGATGAAATGATGAAATGCTGCGAGGAGAAGAACGTGTTGGACACGTCGCTCACATGTCAAAGTCAAACCAGCCGTGTTTATTAAGACAACAAATGTTGGGGATCAGGGGTCTCAGGATGGAAACGAGCGTAAATTCCCATCTTTAGTCTCTATAAATCAAGCTGTGCACGATAAAAGGTCACCAGACTGAGGCTTTGTTTCAATGGGGTCAGAGTTCACCCTCTTCTTACATCTTTACAAACCTCTGTGTTAAAAGAAAAGCATTGAAAGCCCCATCGCGCCCCCCCCCCCCCCCCCCCTCTCTGAATGGGGGGCCGCTTTGTGACTGGAGACTCGTCTACCTTTTCTGCGCTGGTGTCGGGGATGAAAAGCTCTGCTGCTCGGATGCTGGCGCGCTGCTCTCTTCACACTTGGGATCCATCGTCAGCGCGGATGGACTCGGCCTACATTTTCAGAGTGCGCCCCCCCCCCCCCCCTCACAAACAGCCAGGAGCACGCAGCGTCCTGCGCTCATGCAGTCTCTCGTCTCCAGTCATGGGAGGGTCAACCTCGGCCCTGAGAGACACAGAGAGAGAGAGAGAGACTGTGTGGATGCTCTCGTGCTTATGTTTAGGAGAATACTATGATGAAAGAATGGCTTTTTCAGTTTGGGCTAGAGTGCCCTCTGTTCAAGGCCCACCCTTTCGCAAGAGGGGCAAACCACACCAACACTAACATACACGCGGCGTGGTGCTCAATGGCACCCCCTGT